AAAAATGCAGAATAAACATAATCTGAATAAAAAATATTTTCACGCTTAAAAAGAAATTCTATAAAAGTATGTTTGTCTCGAGACTAAAAAAAATTAAAATGCAGCTCAGGACTGCATACTGCGCTAAAAGATAAATAATTCAACAATAGTAAGCACAAAAATAGTGCAGGAACTTGAAACGTCAAAGGAAATCATTATTTCAAACATGTACAAAAAAACCCGTACTCTCCACCGTACACCTCGTTCCGTTAAATCCACTAAAAAAAATTGACTCAAAGCCATCTTCAATCTCGCAATCCGCAAAACCTTGACCGAGCAAATCTCACTTGCCGGCAGCAGCCTCGTTCTTGAACTTGACCGGTGTCATTGTCGTCGGTGTCATCGTTGTGGCGTCGGCCTCGCCGAAGAAGATCAAGGTCGGCTGCCGCGGCGTGCTCGGGTGATTTTTCATATCCTCCACTTGGGTGCCAACAACGAGAGGTAGCTGGCGCAAGTCGTCGGCGAGCTGTTGTACGACTACTGCTTCGTTGATTTTCTCGGGCTCTGAGTTGCCGCTAGTCGCTGGTTGCCGGTAAATCGGGTCATCCGTGTTGCTTGCTGCGAGTGATCGGTAGTCGTAAAAATCAGTGGCAAATCCATCGCCCAACGCGCTGTTTAGTTCATGGGCTGTGTGGGGGCAAATGGGAGAATGGTTTTTTTAGTGAATATGGTACATTTGATCTGATGAGTGGTGGGTAGGAGACGTTACCGGAAATCTTCTTTATCGATTTCTGGTTTGTNAAAATGATCAGGGATGCAAACTATAGTAGATGAAACCGTGTATGATCAGACACAATGATGTTCTCAGCAGTGTTAGGAAAAAAAGACATGTATAGCAAAGGAATTTAAATATGTAATAGAAATAATCAAAGATGCAAACTTTAGTAGGTTAAGCCATGTGTAGTAAGACATAACGATGTTCTAAGCAGTGTTAAGAAAAAAAAACATGTATGGCAAAATAATTAAAACGCTAGCCAAAATTATCAAAGATGCAAACTGTAGTAGATGAAGCCATGTACAGTCAGACACAATGATGTTTTAAGCAGTACTAGGAAAAAAGACATGTACGTGTATGGTCAAACACAATAGTCTTCTGAGTAGTGTTAGGGGAAAAAGACGTGTACGACAAAAGAATTGAAATATGTAATAAAAATAATCAAAGATGCAAACTGTAGTAGGTTAAGCTGTGTATGATCAGACACAATGATGTTCTAAGCAGTGTTACTTATACTCCTAGAACTAACAGATAATAAATAATCATTTATAAACATTTTGTTGATTTTTTTTCTGTCTTAATTTCTCTAAATTCAACTTATTTAATGTAGCATTCAAGTTTATGAAAATCTTTTATAGAATTATTATTCTGCATCCAGCCTATAGCTAAAAAAACTTTATTTTTTGAAAGTTTACGAAACTCATAAAATACTTTAAAAAAAAAATTAAACTGATAAATATTTAATTAATTAGTGGCTTCAAAACTACTTTTGTTAGGTAGAGTATTAAACAATTCAAATAATACTAATAGTATTCATTTCATGAGGCGTACTTTTTCATGATCTACCAACTCGTTTCTGTAGGATTAGTTTCTCCTATTTTTTTTTTTTTTTTTTTTTTCGGATTTTTTGGATCTTACCTCAAAAAATATATGACTTCTCACCTGCATGTTGAATAAAATCTGGAAATTAAACTTTTTTTTCATGCTAGGATATAAATTCCTTAGGATAGTTGACCATAGCCCTTCCGATTTCTCAATTCTCATTTATTTAAATTTATTACTCAGGAATCGTAAGTTATTTCTTGTACGCCCACATTTTTCTCATGACACATTTTATACTCTAGACAAAACTGACAATCAGCTGCCAGAACGAAAGGATGCCATTCTCGTATTTCCCTCGAAAGGAGACAAAACATCAAGCTACAGTACATGAATAGGATGCGCTCAGACATCCTCCTTCATACGTACACGGGAGAGAAAAAATATGCACGAACGATCGATTTGAAATTTAAATTTTCCCTCAATACATTAAAGAGCGCGAGGAATGTAACGGGGCCCACTCTCCTTCGTATAGCGAAGAAAACGAAGAGGAATACTGAAGTCGAAGATTAGAGAGGGACAGAGATAAAGAGCTGGCTGGTCCCGATCTGTGTCAGTCTTTTGCATTATTATTTGTTGATGTGACGTTTAAGTATGTGTAAGTCTGTAAGTATTGATACATTTATTTTATACATGCAATAGGGTACGTTAGCAATACGTATACAATCGATAGACAAATGTGTCACAATAATTTCGAAAATTTTTCGAAAGATATATTTAAATGTTTGCCCCAGGATATCGTATATATCGTTCCATAATTAAATACTACATTCTTTCAAACTCTCGTTCCATTTGAGTTCAGCATCGGCTGATTACTCGATAGATAGGCAGGTTCTTATATGTATTTATGCGATGTTCATCATAATCATATTTTCATTCGTATCCGTCAAGTATACAGTTTACATTCGTGACTCATAAAACTACATTTCCCATTTTATTTGACGAATGAAAATGTTTTATAAATACATCAGTAGTGGCATAAAATTACTGAAATATTCATAAAGAGAAGAAATTCTCGCATACGATAAATAAGTTGTAGACCTCTTTTATTTTTTTAGCACGCAGTGAAAATTGTATAAATTTATTCACGATCGATCGATCAATCGACTATTACACCCGCAGTAAAGCTATTTCGCGTTCAGAAAAAAAAGAAATAATAAACAAGAAAGCGGTCAAACACGAATGCACGTAATAAATGTACACGAAAGGAGCGTGAGAAAAGTAAGGAAAAAAAAAATAAAGAAAAAACATAATGATAAATAATACCCTTCATCGAGGGCATAGCTGAGGGCAATTTGTCCCTGGGCATTCGAAAATATGTTTATACCGTGTGCGCGGAAAGAAGACGCGCCGAGGCGAGTTTCGAAAAGACGCACGCAATACCCATACAGACACACACACACTCGACGGCGAGCGGAGTCGATGTCCGCGAGCACGGAAGCACCGCCGTCGTCTGTGCGCGGGCGAACAGGGCCCCACGCGTTTTATGGGATTCGAAACGTAAAAAAGGAAGCGCCGCCCGGAATTTGGGTCAGTAGGCCAGTCAAGCCCTCCCCTCCTCTCCGTGCCCCACTCTAAAGCCTCCAGCACTTCTACTTCCTCGTTCCCTCCACCACTGCAGCCTCTCACTCGCTACCTTGGCATTGACCTCCCTCCCTCCCTCCAACGTGGCTCTACCTCCTTTCTCCCAACATCGTGCACCTTGAACGCGTCGCTTGGGGTGGAGGGGGGACTTGAACGGGGACTGTTGGAACTTGTACGAGGAGTGGGGGTGATGCCCGAGAGGAAAAACACGCTAGGGCACTCTGTCGCTTCCCAGCTTTTGGTCAAGGTGGACGTGTTCGGTCGATGCTCTCATGCCACGTGTTAGAGGGATCGTTTATTGTGACGGTGCTCGCTGCAGCTTGGCTATGCCAATAACATACTCACGCGAGCCGCAACTAGCACCGTCTCTATTGACGATTTCTTTACGATTAGGAGAATAATTTTAGCGTATTCTGAAATTATTGAAATTTTATGTTTACATGATCATCATACCTCTGTTGTACATAGACATTATAGCAACAATTTCAAGGATTTATTTTCATCCAAGACTTTGTCTTTGAGATTTTTTAAAACGTTTAAATGGGTTTTGCCACACAATTTCTCGTTTGCTATTGAGATAATGATGTATTTCAAATAACAATTTAGTTAGGATGTAGCAATAGTCAATATCTATTAAACTATTCCACAAAATTCTATATAAATTATACTATGTTTGCGAATCCAAAACACTAAAAACTGATCTATAATAATTTTTTTTTTCAAAGAATCAGCTTACTTAGTTTAAAAAGTGACAAAATCTAGTCTCTTCACTGCAAGGAACGTCAAAAAATTATGACAAGTATTTGTTTGTTTGCAACAAAAACAAAATTTATAAATATATAAATTTACTTTTCATTTTCAAGTAAATTAACAAACTATTTACAGTTTTTTATTGTCAACTACTTAGTTATCAATACAAAAAGAACTAATAAAATTTGAGCATGTAAGGGTGAATTTAATTGACCATCTTTGCGCATGTAAAAAATGGTTCAGATTAAGCTCTACTTCGGATCATAGATTTGAAAAAAAATCTTATTTGTATCAGATTGCACGACACACTTTCTTTTCTGGATGCTTGATCTGATACGTATTTGAGAGATTTATCTCTGCATGGTATGAGTTAAATTAAGTTTGAAGAACAAAAAAGCATAGGAATAATAATTTAAATAAAATGTTTAAGCTATGATTTTATTAGGTGAAACAAAATAAGAGTAATACTATACAAATTAAACAAATCTTAAAATACAAATAAAAACTACTTTTGTACTATTATACATCCGTGTCATGTCATGTGTGCTGAGTAAAACTGAAAAAGTAAAAGGGACTCACGTGTACGTCAATCTGTGTATACAAATCGTTAAATCGTCGATCAAACAGAGATTGATACATATAGCAGAAAGTCTTGGATGACTTTACTTTGTTGACACATCTATTATTTCTATGGTCCTCACAGAAACCAAATAACTTTTAGACAACTTACAATAATAATAATCTTCGGTGTCAATATTTTCACTACAGTCATTTTTATTATTAATGATATGCTCTATAATAGTGAAATTTTAAGTCTTAACATTACTGTCAATAGGAACTATCTACTACTGTCAAGTCACATTTTTTAAACACTACTGTAATACTGAGTTTTCACAACTTTCAACACTTCGTAGAGCAAAATATTATTACTAACAATCTTACAAGATGAGTAGTATTTTCAAAGAAATAAGTAAAGTACTTTAATGCCATTTAATAGAAACGATAATCTACTTGGTTTTCACACTTCTAATATCTACAATAATTTTGACATCCGAGCAGAGGACAGGTATCCCCGGTAAGGCTCGTTTTTCAAGTCATCTTGCGACAACGGCAAACTTCTTCTCCTCCGATGATGTTCTTGAGCGTAAACGACGTGGTGGCTCTCCTCGTCTTTGCTGACCAGTTTTTTCGCGGCCACTATCAACGACAGCATCAGTGCTATCGACGATAAGAGCAAGGCTTTCATCGCCATCAGACCAAGTGCGCCAAAACCCATGGCAGCCATCATTTTGCCTTTGACCACAAACGACCAGATTATAATTTGAAAATGATTTTCGTTGACCAACAAAGTAATTCGCTTACTTACCCATCATCAACACCAGCATCATCATTCCGTTGTCGCCTTTTTTACCACCACCACCTTTGTTCCCACGGCCTGTTCCTATAAAAAAAATAAAAAGAAAATGTTCCATTCAAAATTAATCCATTTATTTTTTAATCGTTTTGGTTGCATCAATACCTAATAAGGCTGTATCAGCCGCACTCTAATTGAGCCTAAATCTAAAGAGACTTCTTTCATATTAAAAAAAAATGTTTATGAAAACAGTGATGTCAACTAAAATCAAAATGACTTTACTGCTCTAAAAATTCTTACATGGATAGCTATTTGTATTCAATTGACATTCTACCATTTGCATCTTTAAGTTAATAAATGAAAAAACCAAGTGTACTTGAACAAAAGATGAAAAAATACCTTGATCAGCTAACACAAGGCTAGCGTTGACGGCCGCCTCCAAATTGTCCGGCATCAAGCTGCTCAGCTTAATCCTGAGCTCTCGGTTCTCCAGAAAGCCCAAAACCGACCCAATCTGCCCAAAGTCCTTGAGTACCCTTGCGCTTCTGGAGGACGACCCTCCATCCCCGCCAGTCTCAACCAAACTGACCCCGTCCAGGATCTCGAGGCTCCTGTTCCTCCTCACGTCCTCGAGCATCTTCTGCACAATTTTCCTCACGAGTCTGACCCCCTGACAGGCCACCGAGGCGTTTGCAACCCTGTCCTCCTCACTTGGGCACGAGACCGAGAAACCCTTCCACGCCGCGTCAATTATTTGGGCCTTGGATCGCCCGCAACTGCAGACGATCGCGAGGACAACCACGAGAATCGGTAGCAGCGAGGATCTCATGGCTGACAACAATGAATAGCCTCGAGCAAGATGCTGGGTCTTTTATATGGTCTCCGAGGCGGCAAAAACACCATTTGGAGGTGAGGAAATTGTTGTAGGGTCATTTCGATTTTTCTCGAAAGTGAAGAGCCCGGGGGAAGACGAAAAAAATTACGACGTTTACAGAGCGTTACGGTGGAGACTGGCACTTTTTTGTCGCCCGGCTCCTACATACCTACATAAAAGCCATTTTCACGGACAAATGTTTGTGCCTTTGAAGTACACTCTTTGTTGTTGTTGTTTTTATTTCACAGTTGTTGACGAAAGAGCCATTCCAGCGGAGTCTCGCTTCGTTGCCCCGGGAATCTTGAATGGGCTCGGTTGATTAAGTCGAGCGTGGCTGCGTCGGTTTTTCAAGAGCCGGGAACTGCTCTGGCTTTTAATTTACCCGAGCGCCGGCTGCGAGTCGGGCGTAACTTTCTTCCCGTGGCTGGGAAATGTGATGGAGATTGAGAATTCGGAGTCACTCGAGTTATGATTTCATAAGATTTTTTGGTTTTCGATAATCGCTGAGGTTTTGCGTTTATATGGAGACCGTATTTCGTAAAATGAGTGTTTTTGCTTTACCGCGTCTTTTATGAAGGTTACAATTAAATGACGCATCTAGTAGGTACGCGTTGGGTGATGCGACATTTGTTTTTCAGTCGTAAGATATCGGAGAAGAACTTTCTTGGCTTACATTTCAATGTCAAATGGTGATGGAAGTTAGAGTATTACAATTATTCTAGTTTTAAATTAGTTTATCCCAAAATCGGTATCGCTTCATGATATTGCTATACATTAGTGGTTGAAATCTTGCAATTATTGCCCATGAAATTTTTAAAATGTAAAACTTTTAAGTTGACAGTTTTTTTTAGTTACGATTTGATATCTGTTATTGAAAAGTCTTGCAATATAACAAGATAATGTTAACTAAAGAATATTAATATTAATAATCATAGCAACAATTATTCATTACTCTGTTAAATGGACCTAACTGAAAATTTTTTTTTGACGGCAAAGTTTAAAACGGAAATATTTTTTAAAAAACTGTACATAAAATTTAATTTGTTACAATTACCCATCAAAGTAGTTGCTTAATTTTTTTTTTCATAAATAATACTTCTACTTTATAAGCTTGTGTTCTCGAAAAATATAATCCAACCAGATGCTGATGTATCAAAAAATTTTATAATAAAACCATACATTCAACAAAAAATTAATTTTTTTTTTTTTTTAATTTACCTCTAACTCAGAATTGTAATGTCTTTGACAAAAAATAAATAATACCCATACAATAAACTTGTAAGAAACAAGTCCTTTGAACTTTAACTTTAATCATTTGTACAAAACTTTTTCTGCTTTAAGCAAGAAATACTTGCTCGAACTTTAATTACAACATTACCTAAATCATAAAAAACTTATTGAGTCCCTCAAACGCAAAGAAAATAAAAGAAAAGGGCAAGTATAAAACGAGTGCAAAAAAAAGAGAAACAAAAAAAAAGAGAAACGCATTGATACCGTGAACGAGTAAAAAAAAAAAAGAAGAAGAAGAAGTAAAAAATGAGAGGTATACGTGTGTACAGAAAAAAGGAACTCCAATCTAGTTCATCTCCTTTCTCTTTTGTGCCACTTATTATTCTGCCGACATGTTTATACACACGCGTGTATATATACTACCCGCACGAGGGACCGTAGTCGCACAAGCCCGCGAGGATATAACGCGAGCCAGCGCGTAACACTTGGCTCATTCTCGTGGGGAAGGCTCCACCGCGAACATGACTCCTCTCGCGTTTCTTTCTCTTTCTTCGTCATTTCTTCCATTATTGCGAAAATCACAATGATTTTCTCGTATGCATTTACTCATACATTTCTTGCTGACGTACTCGTTGTCTTGGGTTTTGAGCTAAATTTTATTTTACCTCAGACGAGGTATTATATAGCATTATAATGAGCTGCTTGGCTTTTTGCTCTTTAATGTACCTCAGAGTTAATGCAAGCAACACTCGATTTGATTTATTCTATTATTAAGAACATATGTATATTTTGGGAGTCGATCACCGAAACACCGTTTCGTTTCTTTCTTCTTAAGTTCCAAAAATTGTCGTGAATATTAAATTAATTATTTAATGTTCAACAATAAAATGATTAAAAAATATAATTGGTATAAAAAAAATCATCGGTACATAAATATATTTTATACTTAAATATTTTCAAGTTAAAAACAAACAAAAATCACAATTTTTTTGGTATCAGACAATTATCATTTAATCATTTCAATACAGCATTTAAGATATAAAATTACGTCGTCCTCTTAAAATGTTGCTGGAAAACTTCACTATAAAATTGAATATACGAAGAAAAAAAGTACTAAAACAAATTATAATCCAACATATGCCAAAACATGGTTAATTAAAAAAAAAAAATCAATTCAATCACAAAGCACAATAGAAAAAAGATTTTAAGTATCTTTAAAGTGTCTTTATTGATAATTTCTTGCAAAGTACCCATTAGGTCCATATTTGTTATATAGCTTTCATGTTAGTCTTGATGGGCTCAATTTCGTTTTAATTCTTTCCTTAAAATGAGATTCCTCACAGTTCTAATAAAAAAAAAAAAAAAACTAAATTAAAGCACCCATCGAGCATTACAGGACAGTGCTCACGTGAATTTCCAAGACCATGCACTGAAACTTGATCCCTTGCAAGAAAGCCAAGCCGATATCCACGAGTACCACAGTAGGCAACTCTCACCCGGATGGACGTCTCGCTCGCCGAGCCATTAATCTCGTGCTCGGTCGCAGACAAAAAAAAATCTGTAGAACACATATAGGTATACATGTACTCCAGAAGAGCCGAGACCGCGCAAACTCGACGGGACACAAGAGAAGCGAGCGAGCGAAGAAAGTGCGCGTCCTGTCGACCCACATACCCCACCTTTTCTTGGCCTTGAACTGCCGATAATCCAATACCACGGTCCAACAATAACGGGGGTGCTAATGACAATGGTATACATACAGACGGTGCTTGCGAAAAGCAAGAGCCCACGCGTGAGAAATCGAAAGTCCTGTGTACGTCCTTTTCCTTTCCGCTCGTTTTGTAAGTACACATCTACACCTTCGCATAGGTATGGGGACCTACGCTCAGCCGCAGGAGGGCCCCTTTTCTCTTTCCGATGACGCAGGTTCGCGATTATCTCTGGCGATCGGGAGTCCAGTTCGAAGCGAGTGCTGCTTCCGGTTCGCGCGAGTTGACGCAGGAGAAAGCGAACGTTTCGGGAGAAGGAGGACATTCGCTCGTGTGAGGACCGGCCACGGATGTGCGTCATAGGCGTCTGATGAATGAATATACATATACGCGAGTATATCCTGTAGGAGCTTTTTCCGAGATAGGTACTTACGTGGAGGTTTCCACTGGGCATCGTAATTTTCGCCTCTTGTTTTCGAAGTCGTGAAACATTTTCCAAAGAGATTTATTAAGTATGAAGAGTCGTTGCGTTGCGTGGACAATAAAGTGTGCTTTGACAGTACGGAGGATAATTGGAAATTTCTTTTGCAAATTGTATACCTTTGACCATGAGTGGTATGCACTTAAAGTCATTCCTTCGTCTAAATGCTGTTGACCTGGTTTTTTTTTGTTTTATTCAAATTTTACCTACTTTATGGTATAGTGGAGAGAGTTTTTTTTTTTTTTTCATTGCGATGACTAATTTTGTCTTTAGAAATTTGTCTAAGAAAATTAATGATTTTGAGATGGTGTACTATTGGAGCCATGCAAGTATACGATTGTGAATTTCATACTCAAGGGATGATCAATAGAAGGGGCATAACGATTTCTTTTTTTTTTTAATTAAATTTTTTCTGAAATCCACTACTCTTTGTTTTTTTTGTTTTTACATGGAAATAAGATTGAAAAATTTTTCTTATTCGTGTAAAACCTTAACAAAGATGCTTATATACTATTTACTGTTACACTTAGGAGATACCTTTAAAAGGCAAAAGTTTCTGTGTATCTAAAAGTAAAAAATAAATAATTGGATGGGGTTTAATTCATAACATTTTCTTCCATAAAACTTTAATAAGAATCTTTAAGGAAATTAATTTTAATTTAATTTAATACTTAAAATTAAAGAAAAATACAATAGTCATTCGATGTAACCTATAGTACCTAATTAATACAAAAATATTAGCCAAGATAAAAATTTTACTTATACATTTTTAAAGACTGCAAAAACATTTTTAATATATTTTCATATGAAATTCATATTTGTTAGTCTCATTAAGGGATGTTTTAAAAAATGCAGAATAAACATAATCTGAATAAAAAATATTTTCACGCTTAAAAAGAAATTCTATAAAAGTATGTTTGTCTCGAGACTAAAAAAAATTAAAATGCAGCTCAGGACTGCATACTGCGCTAAAAGATAAATAATTCAACAATAGTAAGCACAAAAATAGTGCAGGAACTTGAAACGTCAAAGGAAATCATTATTTCAAACATGTACAAAAAAACCCGTACTCTCCACCGTACACCTCGTTCCGTTAAATCCACTAAAAAAAATTGACTCAAAGCCATCTCTATTGACG